AATGACACACAAGTGTACTTCTTCAGGCTGGATGGGTCTGTGAAGTACAGTTTTCTGAATAAGAAGCTCTCTGTGCGTGTGATAGGTATGTGATGAGGGTTTCTGTGCGGGTCCTTGTTCCAAAGCCTCTGGGTGCCCTTAGACCAAATAATGAGGGGGGGCAGGGGAGAAGCCTGGCTTGAAGTAGAGTCATACATAGTGATCCCCACCATGTCTTGTGTCCCTATCTCTCTCTGTACAGCTCTGACTGAGACCCCCAACTTCCAAGTCAGACCTACCCTGGTGTCCGGCACTTCCACCCAACTGATCTGTTCTCTGCCCTGGGCTTGTGAGCAGGGGACAGCCCCCATCTTTTCATGGATGTCATCTGCCCTCACCTCCCTGGGCCCCAGGACCACCCTCTCCTCAGAGCTGAACCTCATACCCAGGCCCCAGGACCATGGCACCAACATCACCTGTCAGGTGACCTTCCCTGGTGTTGGTGTTATGGTAGAGAGGACTGAACAGCTCATTGTCACCTGTAAGTGCCAGGGCAGGATACCTGGGTCCCTGGGGAAGGGATATTAGGGGTGTGGGATGGAGGAGGTAGAACTGGTTGGTGGGTCCTGAAAGCCAGGAGTGTGGGAGAAGAAAAGAGCCCTGGGGTGAAATACCAGCAGCCACCTCCTCTCTGAAAAGAGAATGACCCTATCTGTCTGCCCAGATGCTCCACAGAAGCTGACCATCAGGGCGTCGTGGGGAGATGACACAGGTAGGGGGAACCTCTCCTCCTTGGGGTGGGTGCAGGGACTGCTGCCTACAGAGATAAGCAGATGTTCTGGAGCTCAGGCGGGAAGAGGTTCAGGATGGGGAAGGGGGTGATATGGCATCCCCACTCACCCCTCACCCACACACTGCACTCTACCCCAAATGCCCATGGCTTCGGTCTTTCTCAAGACACCGATGGCAGCCTCCAGTGCCACGGCTGTCCTCATCCCCAGGCTGCCCCACTCCCCTGAGCACCCGAGTCTGGCCTCTTTCCCAGCTCCCTTCCTCTCTGTGAGGTGATTTTTGTCAAATGTAGTGTGAGGCGTGTTTTATTCTGCCTCAACCTCTGTCATATGATAGAGGGGGTGACTTACACAGCAGAAACAGGCTCCTTAACTCTGAAGGACAGGAGCTCCAGTTCCAGGTGCTAGCTCCTGGTGAGGGTACCGTGCCTGTGCTACTGATGGTCTTCTCTCTACTCATGTCTTTAAACAGCAGCAACAGACTACACAAGCACTCTGCTATCTTCTTATAGCCCCATTAATTCCACCATCAACACCTTTATCCTATGGTCTCATTTACCGTAATTACCTCCCAAACATCTCCATTATATTGGTGGTTGGGGTTCCAATATATGGATTTTAATGCAATATAATTCTGACCATATTAAGAATTAATACTAAAAGCTCTTGGTGTCTAATGTTCTCCTGTGTCAGTTGACCATACACAGATAGTCTTGCATGCACATTTACACACACACACACACACACACACCACACCAGGTGGGAGGAGAAACACATACCTTCTTCACACACTACTTTGCAACTTTATCATTTTTTTCTTTCTTTATTATTTACTTATTTATATAGGATGGAACTATATCACTAAGCTACACCTTAGACCTTTTGTTAATGAGATTACTAAAGAAATGAACCCCCCCAAAAGCCAAGGCCGTAAACTGAACTCATAGTTACAAGAAGCCTGCTCTTTGGGGATTGCAGAAGCAAAGCAGCTGATCCTGACCCTAGACACTCAGTAGCTGCAAAGAAAGAAAACAGAGCCCGACAGTTTCAAAACCAGCTTGTCTATGAGGAAGCAGCTAGCTTCCTTTCTGCTCCTAACCCTCCTCTCTTCCCATTTCCTGTCCTTAGTTCAAAACCCCAGCTTGAAGCATATAACCTGCACCGTCTTGAACTCTGATCATTGTATTTCTGAGACCTGATCCCTGATCATGGTGTAACCCAATCTGGAGATGCCCTCTGGCGTTGAATAAAGCCCACCTTAGGTGTTCGAGGCTGTCTAAAGTCTCACCTCTTGCTTCTTCTACAAACTGAATTCTTACTTATCCCTATGGTTTCCTTCATGGTCAAACCCACACTGTCATGATACATGTGTCAGTCAATGGCAAGTGACTGAATTAATTTTTTCCCCTCAAACTTAGTTTTCTTGGAGACTTCCTCCTTCACACATATACGTAACTCCATGGTTTTCTAATGTTATGATAAAGTGTTTACTGTCTTACGTCTTGACAGAAAACTGACATTCCTTGCCTTTTATTCAATAAGTGACTTACATGAAAACTCTACATTTGTGGCCATGTCCACAAAATCATTTCCTAAGGAAGAAAATTCCAGAACAAAGGGTCATTTGTATTTCACACGTACGCTGCCAATTGCACACCATGGACTTTGTCTTATTCATATCCACAGGAACAATGTCTTTCTCTCTTTAACAAACACACCCCCGTCCCTCATGTCACAAATGAAGTCACTGTAGTTTTCATTCACATTATTCTCTCAAGAAACTGAGTCTCTTTTACGGTGTTTAAGTATTACTTATGGGCTGTGGGTGTGACTCAGTTGGCAGCATGCTATCCCAGTGTGCAGGAAACCTTGGGCAGAATCCCCAGCATTGCATAAACCAAGCATGGTAATTGCACTCCTATAACCCAAACACTTGAGAGGCAGAAGCAGGAATCTCAGAAATGCAGTCATCCTCATCTCCATAGTAAGTCTGAAGTTGCCCAAGCTATATGAGACCCTCTCTCATAAATAATAATAATAATAATATCAATAAGTTGTATTTATTGGTCTGTGATAATTTCCAAAGTCATCTGAAGAGAGTTTTTTGCCAGGTGAAGGGACTTTTTAGTGTCCTTCAGCTAGCATAGGGTGATTTTGTCTCACCGTGGACGGAACACTGTGGCATTGGCTCCGCTATTCTGTTCTTCACACCCTCCCTCAGCCTTCCTCCTCCTGGAAGACCTTCTTGTCCTGAGAATCTCCCTGGGCTTTTGAGACAAATCCACCATAAAACTCACCACCATGCTGTGCCATCTGCTTTGGGCACCTGCCCCTGGGACTGTGAGCTCCTCAGACACAGCTGATTAGGCAGGCCTTAGTGAGATGCTCTTGAGAGACAGAAGGGTAAACTCTCCAGGGTGAGTAAGGCAGAGAAGAATGGAACCCAAGGTGGTTCTGATGACCTCACCCTTCTAAGAGATGCTGTCTGTCTTCACTCTTTATGGCGTGAGGCCGTCAGCCAGCAGAAGAGAAAAGACAGATGTGGGGAAAGGAGAAGAAAGGCAAAGCCTTCTGCGACCGGCTCGGCCTTCTCTCTGCTTCCACAGAACCTCAAGTGCTGCACAGTGGCTCATCTCTGCATATTCAAGAGGGTGAGTCCCTGAGCCTGGTCTGTGTGGCCGACAGCAACCCCCCTGCCGTGCTGAGCTGGGAGCGCCTGATCGAGAGGCCCCTCCAGCTCTCTACTGAGGAACTGCAGCTGCCGAGGGTGGAGTTGGAGGACCATGGAAAATACATCTGCCGAGCTCAGAACAATCTGGGTGCTCAGGAGGCCTCTGTGAACCTCAGCGTAAGGAGTGAGTTGGAAGATAATGGGCGTGTGGCACTGTGATCACAATCTGGGAAGCCCCTCTGATACCTCTCTTTGTGTTCCACTCCCCAGGCCTTCTACAGCTGCTGGCACCCTCCTGCTCCTGGGAAGCTGAGGGTCTGCACTGCAGCTGCTCCTCCAGAGCCTGGCCCACCCCGTCCCTGCGCTGGCGGCTGGGGGAGGGGCTGCTGGAGGGGAACAGCAGCAATGTCTCCTTCACGGTCACCTCCAGCTTCACAGGACCATGGGCCAACAGCAACCTGAACCTCAGCATGGAGTTCAGTGCTGGCCACAGACTCAGCTGTGAGGCTTGGAATGACAATGGGGTTCAGAGTGCCACTATCTTACTGCTGCCGGGTCAAGAGGTCACAAAGGGTAATGTGTGGGGGAAGGGGTGGCTTCTGGATTGTACAAGACATTGGGAGTGAACAAATTAGGGCTGACTCGGTTAAACTGGGGCTAGTGTTTGTGGTTTCCTACTGTTGGATTGTAGGAGGTTTGGGGACAGGAGGCTGTAGTCACATACACCCATGGGGGAGTAGGGACCTAAACCAGAGTTGGAATGGACATTCTTACAAATAATGGACTAAAGAAGGTTGGATGCTAAGATGACTGCTTGAGAGGATGACTTTCCATCACACCAGCTCTTTCTTGTTAACAGACACATCAGAAACCAGTACAGGAGTGGTCCAAGGGGCCATCGGAGGAGCTGGTCTCATGGCCTTGCTTGCTGTCTGCTTCTGCCTCATCTACTTCATGTGAGTGGTGGCCCCATTTGGTGAAGGCTTCATGTAGTGATTGCGGACTGCTTAAGGAATCTCTAAAACTCAGCCCAGTAAGATAATGACCCAGGGCCAGAGTTAGCAGAAGTCTCTTGCTACCTTGACCAGGTGTAGAGTCTGTTCAAATCATGTAGTCTCACCCACTGAGGATCTTTAATCCACAGAGTAGCCCCATCCCAAGCCTCTGTACCTGGTCTTCCCTGGTCCAAAAATCCATCCAGCAGAGATGGGAAAAACAAAAAAACAAAAAAACAAAAAAACAAAAAACAAAAAAAGAAAACTGATCCCTTTCTCCAGAATGAAGTTCCTCAGGAAGAAATCAGCCCTGAAAGTAGCAAGCATGGAAGACAACCATCCTGCCGAGAGCCCTGGCTCCATCATAAATGGTTCAAGCATGATTTCATCCAGAGTTTCATTAAGATACCCCAACCAGGTACCCAGCACATCAATACTGAGCTTCTGTTTCCCCAAATGCCTCTCCAACATCCAACTTTCCTTCTCCAGCTGCAGGCTGGGGACCTGGCATTTGTCCCTACCTCCATCTCCCGCTTCAGGTATTTACCCAGGCCTGCCTACTGTTCTTGTCGGCAAAGCTCTTCCCAGGTAGCTACTTCCTGTCAAGGTTTCACAGCCTTTTCCTGGGCCTCAGCACTGGCTTCATCAGTCCACAGTAAACTTTCATGAAGGCATTCCAAACAGCTGTTGAGTTCTGCTTGGTCCTTACAGTCCAAATACGTGTTGTTAAGCAGAAATAGAATGCCACGTGGGGCGTGGTGCGGCGTGGTGCGGCGTGGTGGGGCGTGGTGGGGCGTGGTGGGGCATGGTGCGGCGTGGTGGGGCATGGTGCGGTGTGGTGGGGCAGATCTATAATCTCAGCATTCAGGAGGCTGAGGCAGGAGGATGGGGCGTACAAGGCCAGCATGAACTACCAAGTGAGTTGAGGGCCTACTAGGGTAACTTATGAGATCCGAATAAAATCAAGAGTGAAAAGAGCTAGGAATGTGGCTCAGCAGTAGAGAACTTGCCTTGCATCCATCACTGAGAAACAGAGGATGTGGCTTAGAAGTGGAAGGCCTGCATAGAATTTACCAGTGATGGGCTGGGGTTGTGGCTAAAGGGTAGGGCACTTGGTTAGAACCAGCTGGGACTGGGGTGTGGCTCAGAGGTGGAAGGCTTGCCCGGAATTTAACAGTGAGGCACTCCGGGATGTAGCCCTCTCGTAGTTTTCTAGCATGTGTGAGACCCTGGGTTCCATCCCCAGTAGGGAAAGAGAGAAAGGGGAGGAGGAAGAATAGAGACAGACAGACAGACAGACAGAGACAGAGAGAAAGACACAGAGAGAGACAGAAACACCAGGAGGTTGGACTTTGGTGGCACATGCCTATATTCCTGACACTTGAGAAGCATGAGAAAAGAAAATGTAAAGTTTGAGGCCATCTTGGGCTACATGGGGAATTGCAGGAGAGTCTGGGCTTCTTAGAGACTTAATTTCAAGATTAAAAAAAAAAAGGAAAGAAATAAACTGTTGGTCACATGTATAACATAAAATCTTCATTAGTCACATTAAAAGCAGAAGCACATAATATCAAATTTCATTCCATATAACACAACCAAATGACTGTGGTTCTAATTGTTATCAATAACCAAATGTAAAAATTATTGACACACTCACATTGTTAATTTGGGGTACTCAGCCTTTCAGATCTAGTGTATACTTTGTTCTCACAGCACATCTCTGCTGAGATTCCCTTACATGTGCTACATGTGGCTCGCACCATATTTAAGATCAAGACCTACAGAATGTCCAGACTCCGTGGGCAGATGCTTCCTGATCTCTCCTTCAATGGAGCCTATACATCTTCCATGTATCAGTTAAAATATCCCTGCCTCTGACAGGCAGACCATCACCTGCCTCTTGAAGTCTCAGGCTTGTCCCTGCTCTTCCCATATACTGTGAGCCCCACCAGGGCAGGGTGGGTCTATTCCTAGCTTCTTGAGAGCTCACTGTAACTCCTTGCTTCTGCCCAACAGATTACAATTAGATAAAGTTTTCATTTTGTTTTCCAAATTTCACTTATGTACATTTTGGTGTCCCTGTGTAGCCCAGGCTGTTCTGGAACTCACTGTGGAGCCAGAGCTTGCCCCAGACACAGTCTTCCTTCTATAGTCTCCCAAGTGATGGGATTGCTGGCAGATACACCTGGCTTTCCCTTCATCTGTTTTTGACAGTCTGGTGCTGTCTTTTGTGAGTTACTTAAGCTGGACCAGACTATGTTCACATTCATAAAGTGGGAAAGGAGGGGGTTGTGAAGACTCGGTGAGACCCTTAAAATTAGCTGGGAACGGGGTGGAGATATTGTTAGAGCCCTTGCCTATTCTGTGCAAGGTCCTGGTTTGATTACAAGTGCTGTGTATGTAGGTGTATGTGCACATAGGCACCCACCGGGGGAATGTAGAGGAGGGGTGTAGACACGTGTTCATCTTCATGTTCACACATCTCTAAAGTTAAGGTGAGTGAGTGAAAGCATGGAGTAAATACTCAGGAAATGTATGTGAAGTAGACAAGTGAACAAATGCCCGGCTAAGCCCCAAGTGCCTTTGGTAGTTCTTGCTGCTGTCTGCAAAGTCTTCACTGTTGCCCTTCTCTAATTGGGTTCCAGGGTCACCTGAATGCATCAGGGTCACCGAACCAGGAAGAACAGCCACCTCTTTCCGTAGTCCCACACACCCTGGAGGATGAGCCTGAACTCCACTATGCCTCCCTCTCCTTCCAAGGCCTGAAGCCCCGGCATCCTCAGAACACGGAGACCATCAAGTCTGATTACGTGGAGCTCAAGTTCCACAAGTGCTGACCCTCCTTGCTCTTGTGCCCCAGCACTGGTTGGAGTCCCGGAAAGGACAGTGTTTGTTAGGGGCAGATTCTGAGATGAGTGGCCCTCCAAACCAAAGGTTCTGAAGGAGAAGGCATGAGGGCGACAGGATTCCTGGGTTCAAGTCCAGGTTCAGTGTTATTCCCACAGAAGCCACCTTTCCTCACTGTACCCTCTCTTCCTCCTCTGTAAAGTGGGGTCCCATTCATGCGGTGTGACCAGGAGAAACCCCACAGTGTCCATTGTTTGTTGCTTGTGTTGCTTATGTTGCCTCAGCAGTGGGAGGAACATTCTGACTCTATCACATACTTGAATTTTACTTGTATATTTTAGAGAACGTATATTAATTCTTAAAGTGATACTGTTTTGAAGTGTGACTGTGTTGTAGCTACACGTACCTCAGATTGAACTTATACTGAATGTTCTGCAAGCTCTGAAAGATCACACAGATGCCAGCTCAGACTACTGTACCCAGAAAAACTATCAATTACAAGGAATAAAACTAAGATCTTCCACAAATCAATACAAGTGGCAGACAATCCAGTACAAAACGGTATATGTGAGTGGCCAGCAAACATACAGAAAGTGATCAATCCGTGCTTGTCAATGAAAGATAAATAAATATGATCCAACTGTCAAACTGTGCAGCAATTCTGCTCACAACTGCAGACCTAAAAACACAAGATACAGCTATTCATCAGACTTACACAAGTGTGTTGTTCATGGAAGGATTGGGGATGAAGCTCAGTGGCAGAGGGTTGCTTGCTATGTCTGAGACCCTAATCTGTTTGATCTCGGGTCCTATAAAAGTAATGAAATGTACCCAAATGTCCACCAGAAGTAAGAGAGGCAAACAAACTACACGATGTTTATGGGATGTAGAAATAGAATCTCATGCATGTGTGACAGAATGTAACACGGATGGACAGAATCCAGACACATAGTCTCTAATGTGTTAGGTCCTTGGCATGAGGTTTAGAAAAAAAGAGAACTCATCTTTGGCATTAGAACTGGATTCTTTTTCTCCCTTTTATTGGAAATAGATTCTTTTTTGTTTTTTGAAAAATGTATACATTTATTAAAAATTTGAAATTACTTAAAAAATGTGGTTACTTTACACTATAAATTCAGAAGTCCTGGGAATTAGGCACAGAAAGATTTAGGTTTCCAAGGAGTCCTTAAGGTTTCCTATTGGCATTCCTCATTGCTCTGGGGGTTTGGCACTTTGGAAGTCTCTGGCTTGGAACCCTGGTTATTGAACAGCAGAAATAGATTCTTTTGTCATACAATACATCCCGATTACAGTTACTGCTCCCTCTACTCCTCTCAGACCCTCCTCACCTCTCCTCCCATCCAGATCCACTCCATTTCTGTCATCATTAGAAAAGAACAGGCTTCTAAGAGACAACAACAAAACAGAACAAAATAAAATGTGTTAAGATAAAACAAAAACCATCACCAAATGTTGGAGAAGCCAAACCAACAGAAGGTAAAGAACCCAAGAGAAGGCACAAAAATCAGAGACCCACTCATTCACACATTCAGGAGTTCTATAAAAAGACTAAACTGAAATCTATAGTACATATGCAGAGGACCTGGTGCAGACCCCTGTAGGCCCTGTGCTTGCTGCTTCAGTTTCTGTGAAGTTAAATGAGATTTGCTCAGTTGATTTAGAGGGCCTTGTTCTCCTGGTATCCTCCATCCACCCTGGCTTTTATGTTCTTTCCACCTCCTCTTCCACAGGATTCCCTGAGATCTGAGGAAGAAGTTTGATGGAGACATCCCATTTAGAGCTGTTTGTTTCAAAGTCTCTCCCTCTCTGCATACTGTTTGGCTGTGGGTCTCTGCATCTGTTCCGGTCTTCTACAAGAGGAAGATGATGGCTGAATAAGGCACTGATCTATGAGTATAGCAGAATATCACTAGGAGTCATTTTTCACCATTCTTTTAAGACCAGTAGTATTTGGTTTTTACCCTAGGTCTCTAGGCTATCTATTCTCTGGTTCTTGATCGCCCAGGCAATGTCAGGTATAAGTTTCCTCTTGTGGCATGGGTCTTAAGTCGAATCAGCTGTTGATTGGTTACTCCTGCAATTGTGTCAGTTTCCCTAGCATATTTTGCAGGTAGGAGAGCATTGTAAGTCAAAGGGTTTGTGGCTGAGTTGGTGTTTATGTTTCTCTTTTGATAGCCTGCAGAGTACCTTCCTATACCAAAGACACTAGAACAAAGGAATGAAAGGTCTATGTAGGCACCAGCTCAACCACTCCATGTTCAATGAGTTGTGTAGATGTTGTCTTCAATAATGGGGCCTGCTGTCAGTTTGGGGAGAACAATCTATTGTCTTGGCAAGAGTCTGGGTTGTTTGGGGATTTTCATGGGACCCCTTTGACCAACAATTCAATTGGATGCAACCCAGTCCTGGTACTGGGAGCTTCCTTTGATGACAAGACATAGCCAGCCAGGTAGGACTCTGTCTCCCCATTCTTTGGAGACTTCATTAGGATTACCTTCATATATTTGAAGAAGTTTCCACTGCTAGGTTTCTTTGCCACCCCTCAGTTCAAGTTGTCTCTCCCTACTGATTTTTGTGAGTTAATTTTGTATCCAGCCACTTTGCTGAAAAGGTTTATCAGCTGTAGGAGTTCTCCAGTGGAATGTTTAGGGTCACGTATGTATTCTATCATATCATCTATCATATCATCTGTAAATAAAAGTACTTTGACTTCTTCCTTTCCAATCTGTATGCCCTTGATCTCCATCAGTTGTCTTATTGCTCTAGCTAAGACTTCAAGTACTATATTGCATATGTGTGAAGAGAGTGGACCACCTTGTCTTGTTCCTGATTTGGGTAGAATTAATTTCAGTTTCTCTCCACTTAAATTAATGCAGCTATGGGGTGTTATAAACGGTCTTTATTATGCTTAGGTATGTCCCTTGTATCCCTAATCTCCTCAGGACTTTATCATAAAGGGATATTGGATTTTGTCATGAGATGATTGCTGTGGGATGTTCTGTATGGCAAATGTGTTGCTCTGATTGGTCAATAAATAAAACACTGATTGGCCATTGGCTAGGCAGGAAGTATAGGCGGGACAAGGAGGAGAATAAAGCTGGGAAGTGAAAGACTGAGTCAGAGGAGACACTGTCAGCTGCCATGATGAGAAACAGCATGTGAAAATGCCGGTAAGCCACGAGCAATGTGGCAAGGTATAGATTAATGGAAATGGATTAATTTAAGCTGTAAGAACAGTTAGCAAGAAGCTTGCCATGGTCATACAGTTTGCAACCAATATAAGTCTTTGTGTTTACTTGGTTGGGTCTGAGAGGCTGTGGGACTGGCGGGTGACAGAGATTTGTCCTGACTGTGGGCCAGGCAGGAAAACTCAAGCTACAAATGGCGCCCAACGTGGGGCGCCAGATATTGGTGAAATTATTAAGGCCACTCCACGTAGTTAAAAGGAGATTTATTTAATGGCGTAACTTACAAATTAAGGGATAGGTAGGTCGCGGGGTCTGGGGAAGGTGTATCACAGTCCAGCGGTGTTCTCTGGAGCTCTGCTTGGTCCACCTCCACTATCCAGGGTCCCGGCCCCGAGCGCACGCCCACCGATCCAGATCTCGGGTCCCCAGGCGCCTCCCTTGGCCCCGCCTTGTAGGCGTGACAGTTGCCGAAGTCTCAATGGGGGTTGGAACTTCCAGATCAAAGCTGGAATGGCTACTCACTACAGATGATCATGTGGTTTTTACTTTCATTTTGTTTATATGATGATTACATTTATTGATTTTATATATTAAACCATCCCCACATCTCTGGGATGAAGCCTACTTGATCATGGTAGATGATCTTTTTGATGTGTTCTTAGAGTCACACATTTTTATTTTATTGAGTATTTTTGCATCTATGTTCATAAGGGAAAATGGTCTGTAATTCTCTTTGTTGGGTCTTTATGTGTATCAGGGTAACTGCGGCTTCATAAAATGAATTGGGTGATGGAATAATTCAACGAATTATTGGCATTAACTCTGAAAATCTTATAGAATTCTGGGCTAAAAGCATCTGGCCCTGGGCTTTTTTTGGTTGGGAGATTTTAATGGCTGCTTCTATTTCACTAGGGGTTACAGTTCTGTTTAAGTTGCTTATCTCATCTGGACTTAACTTTGACAAGTATCTAGGAAATTATCCATTGCTTTTAGATTTTCCAATTTGTTGGAGTAAAAGTATTGTCCTTTTTTAAAATTGTTGCTGCCTTTTAAGGCAGGGCTGTCCGAAACAGTAACTGCAACTCTGCTTCTACCAGCCGTGGTTAGGACGGAATTCTGCTCCTTCAGGCACTGACTCTTTCAAAGCTACCAAAGGAACTTAACTAAATCTCTGTACCTCTAAAGAACTCAAGATTCAAAGATTAAGGGGGAAATTCTGCTCTTCAGAGAGGCTGAATAGCAAATAGCTCACCTCCTCTCCTTGCTCGAATCCTCCAAAAAGCCCTCATGCTTCTCCTTACCCCTCCTTAAAAACCCTCCTCCACCTGACTCTTCCCTACCACTTCCTGTCAGCTAGTTGCTGACGCAGCCTCCTGCTCGTAGGTGAATTTTATTTAATCAAACATCTTTGCATCATTAAACAAATGTTCCAGAGCATAAACAAAAGTAACACACCTTAAAATGATATTCCATAACATAAAAGTTATTAAAGTGTGTCTTTATGATTCTCTGGATTTTCCCATGTCTATTGCTGTGTTTCCTTTTCATTTTTGATTTTATTAACTTGGATACTCTCTCTCCACCTTTTAGTTAGTTTGGATAAGGGTTTGTCTACTTTGTTGATTTTTCTCAAAGAACCAACTCTTAGAACCACCTTCATCCTGTCCCATAAGTCTGGGTATGTTGTGTCTTCATTTTCATTCAATTCTAGAATGTCTTTAATTTCTTTCTTAATTTCACTTGTGACCCATTTTCATTCAGTTTCTATTAGCTTGTAAGCTTTCTGTTGTTTCTATCCAGCTTTAATCCATGGTGGTCTGATAGGATGCAAGGAGTTATTTCAGTTTTTTTGTATCTGTTCAGACTTGCTTTGTGTCTGAGTATGTGGTCAATTTTGGAGAAAGTTCCATGAGTTGCAGAGAAAGTATATTCTTTTGTGTTTGGGAAAAATATTTTATAAATATCTGTTAGATTCATTTGGTTTTTAATGTCTGTTAGTTCCAGCATT